GGCCAGACTTTGTCTAGTCTGAAGGTTATTTGTATAATTTATATGGACAATTTTATTCATTAAGTGGAAATTAAAGATATATTTAGAGAAAATTTACCGATTCGATTGAGAAAATTGATTGATTAAGTATATCGTACTCATCCTCACTCCCAAACTGATTATTATCAAATAGGCTCTATAATATTTTTTCCCAACAACAATGTACTTTTATAAAAAGGGAAACCTTTCATTGGCTATACTATCAGTCTAAATCTTATAACTAATATTTTCAATGTATCGCTGTTGGTTTCTATAAAATAAATAAATAAATAAATAAATAATATAAATATCGTGATCTGAAGCATGCTGGCTAGATTTTTGGTGGGTGGGTATATTAATATCCTTTAGTCTTAAAATATTTAACACGTTGGACGCCACGCAGCTCACCGGTGAGCCTCGAACAATTTCCGTTGTGTCTAGTGTCTCGACAGACAAAACTTGATAAAATGTCTACTTCAACGTTACTTGGTCAATCATTTTAACTGACGCTAACCCGAAATTCGTTCCTCTATTTGTTTATTACGGCCATAGTATTGTTTTGTAAACAAACCATAAAAACGAATTTAATAGAACATCGAAATTAAACTAATTCCACAACGGGACCGTTGTGAATCTCAACGGCTCCCATTTTGAACGTGGGACTTACAAAGATATTTTGGGATAATATTTACACTGTTAATTATTTCCCACGATACGATTTTACAATAAAATTTGCATTCAAATCGGCTCGGAAAATTAGATTAAATCGGTTGGTTGGCCAATGTAAACCTGGCCCAAAATGGAATTCCGCGGACTAAATTACCTTTGTTTGCTGGTGATATCGAAAACGAAGTATATTTTACTTTGGGCTACTTTCACAGAGCGTTTTACGTAGCTGCTAACTAAACCCTTCTCCACTTTTATACAGGATGTCCTAAAATTAACACGTCACACTGACACTGGAGGCAGCTGAGTTTAAGACGCATCGAACAAGCTTAAATATCCATAGAAAAGTTTCATAAGTTTTAAGATGACCAATTTTATTTTGTCCATAGAAAAGTTTGTTGAGTTTTGAATTATGACTCATATTAGTTATTTTTAAAAATGCACTAAATTACCTACTTATTAGATGCGTCTTAAGCTCATTTACCTCTGGTGTCAGTGTGACGTGCAAATTTTGGGACACCCTGTATGTATAAGGCCCGGTTTCCACCAATGCGGAGCGCAGAAGGGTTTTGAATAACCAATCAGACTTCATTATTGCCACTTCTCTGCTCAGCTTTGCGCCGCGCCGCCGCCATTGGCCACTGTCAAATTCTATAAAAAAAATTGACGGCCCAACACTGGCACCATCTTGGTGGAAACCGGGCCTAGAAGTACTGGTATTAAGACAAGAACTAACTTAGGTACTTATCTTACATTTAATACCTACCTTTAAATAGATAAATCAACACAATATACGAGGCAGCATATGTATTTTAAATGTCACATTTTAACAGTTTACACGTAAATCTTGCTATTTTATGTGGGAGAGACCACTTATCTTGAACATTACGAGCTGTCTAAGTGTCTGAGACTATCGTAAAAGGGATCAAATCGTATTAATAGTCACTTTCAAAAGCAATATCCTCATAATGGCGCGTTTTCAATAAAATTATCTTGGAGGATCAGCAGAAAAGTTTTGAGCTCTTTGTGTAGACACACTAGACATTTCCCTTGGCGATGCCTGGGTTGAATTAAAAAAGTAGCCTTTAAAAGATAACGGAATGAATGCTATTGAATGAAAAGTTCTATATTGACCACCATGCCGCATCGGCAGACTACCCACCAGATGAACCGATGATCTGATCTGATGAAAGTTAGGGAAAGCAGCTGGATGCGGCAGGCCTCTTTCTTCTTCATGTCATGCATGGCTGCTTGATCGGCGGCCTTTGAAAAACCACGAGAACTTTTGCGGCGGCGGCCTTTGAAAAATCCTGGAAACTTTATCGTGTTTTCGGAGCTATTCATCCCTCTTACTCTGAGACGCTAGTATGAGCGACAGAGGCAGATATATCTGAAAAATACAAAAACGACATTTAGAATTAACCTCACAAATTAACCTAACAGGCACTAGCCTGTTACGTCCCTTCTACTGAACTCGACAGGATTTGCAGACTTACACATTGTTCTAAGTTAAACCTAAGTTACGCCCTAAAACCAAACAAACTATCCTCTTGTAAACACTTCGATCTTCGGAATAAATAAACTTCGGTCTGGGACTATTTGTTAGTCTTTCAGTGGCGGTTAAGATCAATAGACATCTGGTCTGGCGGCTAGAGACTAGGGTTACCACACAAATGTCAAAAAAGCCTAAAACATTTACGTATGTAGCAGTCACTACAGTAACGTTTCTAGTTTTTATAGATATGGGTGCACGAAATTGATTTTTCTTCTGCTTACAAATTACAGGACAGGTCAAAGTCTAGAAGGAAAACACGAAGTCTGGGCATGTCCCAACAAATCGTGATGGATAGTAACCCTACTAGAGAGGCCCTTCCATGTTTGCTTGGCGAATTAAGTCCAACTCCAACAAGAAAATCGGTTAGAAGCTAATCAAAATAAACTTACTCATCATAATATTCTGATATAGTGTAGTAACCGCTTTTTAAATAAAATGACATAATATTTCCCTTATAATTAATTTATTAAGATTTCTTCTCTGAAAATGGTTTCCAAAGAAAACCTTTAATTTACGAGACGCAAAAGCATAAATATTGGGAGACAACAACTCCGTCTTTTGTACAAGAATAAATTACAAAACAAATGTAATCAAACATCTTTTTGTTTTATTTTCTTTCTACCATTTACTTGTTTCTTAGAAAAGACTTTCGATGTTTTGACGCCATGATTATTATAATGGTATAAATAGACTGTTTGATCTTTTTCAAAACCTAAACTTCTTTTAAGTGCCTTTGTGTGATGCGGATTTTGGTTACGCGTGCGGATCTGGTCTCTCTAATCTGTGGCAGATAATCACGCTGCTGATTGCGAGTGTGTAGCCCGCGTCATAGTCAACTATACTAATCTCAGGACCTACTGGTCCGATTGAAAACAAAACTGTGTTGGATAGCCTATTTATCAAGGAAGGCTTTAGACTATATCACAACACCCTACTGCCGTATGCCATTAGGACCAGAACAATAAAGAAAAATGTTGCAAAACCGGTAAAAATTATTTAAAAAAAATTAACACGCGTAAGTAGCTACGAAGTCGCGAGAACAGCTAGTTTAAGAAATAAAAAAAATGCGGACAGCCCGCATGCGGAGCAGATCCGCATGCGTTCCGAAATCCGCATCATACCTATGTATACAGGGTGTTAGGTAAATGGGTATATGAGCCGACACTAGCCCATGTTAACATGGTCATATAAATGGTATGGTGAAGTCAGAAAATTGATATCTTCATTTTAATTATTTTATTTTTCATACAAATCGGATTTCATAAAATTTATTTTGTATGAAAATTAAAAAAAATAAAATGATGATATCAAATTTCTGACTACTTCACCATACCATTTATATGCCCATGTTAACATGGGCTAGTGTCGGCTCATATACCCATTTACCTAACACCCTGTATAGGAAAAGGGCACCAAACCCCTAATTTGCCGAGTTGTATTTATAGAGGTTACAATTTAACCACTTAGATTCCTTGTCACATTCCAGTTTTAAAGTTAAATTTATACTTTGGACTTTGAAATTATGTTTGAACTCAATTTCCATTTAAATGAATGAGCTTAGGCTACGGTACTGCATTTGATTTACATATTTTCTTCTAATTTACATTGTGTTTCCGTATCAATAACACCGTGTTTTTGATGAGAGTTGCATTATTATGACCATGTTAGGCACTTCATAATAAGCTGACTATAGATCTAGTTAGTGCCTGAGGTATATAGGAGGTTACGGGAGGGTTGTCATCAACGTTGCCAGTTTTCAAATCAGCGTTGCCAGTTTTTTTTTCGCCAAGTCGGGACTTTGGTACTTATTGAGTGAAAATACCGGGATTCGTCCGTCAGAAGCGGGACATAGTAAAAAAACGTATACAATCAAAGGTTTTCAAATATTTCTTTTTATTTGACTTAAAATTACGTTTACGTGACAATAGATAGCAAAAGTAGCCAGAGAAAATGTATTTTAACAAAAAAATAATGTTTTAAATCAGGTTTACTCTATCGTTAAATTCGTCTTTAGAATAAAAAAAAAAAACAAATCGAAATAAAAAAAATATTATTCTTTAGAAAAATATGGCGTTTCAAACAATAGTCTGGTGAAGTGAGTGTCTCTCTCCGAAAAGCGGGACCGAGCCTGTCCCGCGCGGGACATATAAATCGGGACGTCCCGCCAAAATCGGGACGTCTGGCAACGCCGCACCTGACATAATATATTATGACGTGACAAAGCATACAAATTTGAAGCTTAGGTATCTGAAGTCTCGCTGACATTTGACGTCTCAAAAACACCCTCCCCTGTCGCTCTCATACCTAAGGCACTGACTGAGTTAAGCAGATGGACTATTGTGGTGATTTTTTAGCTTACTTGGAGACCAAAATAAAAAACATCTTCAATTTTACTTGGCCAAACGTAAAAAAAAGTTTGCTCTGTTTGCTTTTTGTAGATCGGACAGTCGTGTTCCTGCAGTTTGTGCTGCAGTGCAGACTCAATGACTTGATGATGATGATAATAATGACATGAAAAAATGATAATACCTATAAGATTTTAAACTTTCGCGTTCCATTTCAACTAAATAGTAAGACACGGGTCTTAACGCGACGTTTATTAATGAGTTACATTATGTACTCACGGCTTGACGTTTCGGCTGCGATGCTGCAGCCGTGGTCACAGGCCGACTGGCGAACTTGAAAATTTTTAACTACCCTCATATTGTAATTAAAAATCCTCATATTGTCAGAAAAAATGATAATCTTTCCCTTTCCCCAGGTGCTTCTAGTCCACGAGGCGTCCAAAGGCAGCTTCTCGCGGGTGTTCGACCTGGAGGCCGGCGATGAAGCGGAGCCCGGGACCCCTCGGACTTCGCCCTACGAGAGCCGGTTTCCCATCAACATCGGCATCACGGGCTACGTCGCTACTACTGGCGAGGTAAGTTGATACGATGGAAGAAAAAGAATATGACCTGCTTAAAAATGTAGCTCGAGGCGACCCTATCTATGATGCAGCGAGCTTGACCAGAATATTCATTCGTGGCTTGAAGGTTGATAGTATTTTTGTAGATACGAGCCTACCTACACTAAGGCTGGGTTGCACCATCTTACTTTAGCAAACTGACGTATTGTTTTCGAATTCCTTCATTTTCTTCTGGTAAATTAGAGAGGGTCGTGCTCCTTCTTCAGTAGAGGCCTGACTTGATGATGAATAAAAAGTTATATTATTATCTAATCTATTGCAAAAACATAAATAACCCTTTATACTATACTAGCTGACCCGGCGAACTTTGTTCCGCCTTAATGGCAATAAATAAGCAGACTTTTTTTTATTTCGAACGGGATAAAAAGTAGCCTATGTCCTTCTCCTGGCTCTAAACTACCTCCCTGACAATTTTCAGCTAAATCGGTTCAGCCGTTTTTGAGTTATAAGTGGTGTAACTAACACGACTTTCTTTTATATTATAAATAGACTAGCTGACCCGGCGAACTTTGTTCCGCCTTAATGGCAATAAATAAGCAGACTTTTTTTTTAATTTCGAACGGGATAAAAAAGTATCCTATGTCCTTCTCCTGGCTCTAAACTACCTCCCTGACAATTTTCAGCTAAATCGGTTCAGCCGTTCTTGAGTTATAAGTGGAGTAACTAACACGACTTTCTTTTATATATATAGATAATATACCCTATATATTTAATGTAAACTGTCCTAAACACCGATGTTTAATTACTCCAACTAACCAAAATGATAAATCTTAAACCTTATCCCATTTTAGCCATAAATTACGACCTTAAGAGCTTTGAATAATGATGTTCTAATTTGTAACGTAATCTTCTAATCTCCAGGTTGTCTGGAAGAGATCGCTTTATAAGACCGTCTCTTTTGTATATTTTTTTTTCTTTTCTTGTCTTATGTGGTGTACAATAAAGTATAGTAATATATCTATCTACCTTCGCAGACCGTGAACATCCCAGATGCGTATTTGGACGCACGTTTCGACCCGTCTGTGGACGAAGGCACAGGGTTCAAACACAACACCATCCTCTGCATGGCCATCAAGAATTCCGAAGGAAGAATCATTGGAGTCATTCAGGTATGATAATAACGCTTACTTTTTTATCTTTTTCTTTTATGGCATCGTGTGCCAGTGTCAAGGGATTCAAATAATTTAATTTATAGATCGCGCAGCAAGAGTTGAGGCAGTCAACACAAGCAAAGTTTTCTATGTGTGTACATTTGTCGCGCTGACGTTTTGCGTATTTGACTGATTTGTGTGTTCTGAATTCAAGTATTAAATCAATGTGAGTATGTGTTAGCCTCAACTTTCGTTGCGCGCGGTATACCTAAACGAGTAAGAATATATTTTGTCACCAAAATTTTTCCCACTTTCAAACTAGAAAAACATTTTAATATTGAACCCCATTTATAACCTTATTCCTGATCATGAGAAATTGAATTTTTCCGGTTGAGTTATAAAGGTCATTTACAATCTGCGAGCAAGTTTGGTGTTAGCAAACGATTTATCGTGAACCCACTATATTGCGATCAACTGTTTTCGTCATGATTTTCCGGGAGTTCGGAAACTAAGATTTACATTTAATTTTGACACTAGAATGGTCACTCCAGCTGTGAGCTGCTGCTCCAGCTGTTTTGATTTTTAATTGTGAAAATATTGATTGCATATTAATTAATGAAGTTTTCTGAAGCTTCAAAAAAATTCACAGAAATAATGATTGCTTTGGAACTTTGAATTGCAATTTTCAGTTTTTCACGAAACCAAGCTCATATATTTATGTTAGTTCTCGTATGAGAAACAGCACCTTCATGCGTGGTATTGTGGCAGAGGTATTTCATTAGATTGTATCTAAGCGTTGTACAGTCCACAATGAGGGCTATGTATGTACCTACTCATTTATGCTTGTTTTCAACGGAACATACACCTAAAAATAAAATTAAAAGCATTAATTAAGACTTTATTTCAAACCTAATATTCAAGAGGCACGGTGTGGGCTGATTCCTAAAACTTCATTACATTTCTAAAAAAAAGGTCTCGCTCCAAAATTACCAAAAAAAAAAACTTCGCCGGTGACCTAAATGAGCTAGTTTATTATTATAACCGTTGTAAAATGTTGGAAGTCCCAATTTCCCAGCGGAGTCTAACATAAATATAACATAAAAAGTCCAATATAACGTATGAAGTCACTGGGAACGAGATCCCAAAGTTATTCAAATGAATAATGAAAAATTCAGGCGTGTACGAGTGGCCACAATAAAATTGTTAATAAAAATATAGCGCACAGCGGTCATATGCGACGACGGCAGTTACGCATAGCGCAAATTGCATATTTTATCAAGTGCTTAAATCTTAACTTGCAAACTTATACAGTCTTATAACTTTTTATAGACAAAGATTTTGTTACTGAAAGTAAATTTACGTTAACGGTCGTTAAGAGCGACCTCTAAAAAGCTTTTTAAATTATCCACACAGCACGCGACCTACTTTACGCACATAACCTAACACCCAGCCTACATTTAGCGTAAATCCAGAAAATATCGTGCTTCCTGAAAAGCGAGCCATAATGCCAACTTTAAATTATTTGTCACACTGGATGCGGTCTGCGGTCAGGTATTGAACGACATTGTTGGTCTCTATTCGGTTCTGTCGGCATTTTGTATTTGAGAAGTAGCCCTAATGAGAAGTAGCCCTAATGAGAAGTGGCCATAGTGAGAAGTGGTCCATTAGCGAGTCGGTTGCCATAATGAGAATTAGCCCTAATGCGCCCAAAGGATGCAATCTGATGGTGCAGGAGCAGGCACGAGCAAAGAACGCAAACCGCACCGTGGCAGATTGCCTTTTCACGAATCCTGACAGATTGTCTTGCCAGGCCTAGGATGCGCGCCGCGACAAGCGGTTATCACACCATTTTATCGATTTTGCCCATAGGGTCATTCCATCGTTTCGGGTGTTACGTTCGTACACACATATTCAACAATTTCATGTATTTTGAAATAGTATTTTAATAATGTTAGTGCCTTAATCTGTCCGTTTTTAGTTGTTTTATCTAAATAATAAAGTTTGTACAGCTTAGAATGTAGGATAATGAAAATATGAGTCGAAAAGTGTGCGTTTCGGGCGTTACGAGATTTTGCCTCTATGTTCTGACTGTTGCTGCATTTACTCGAAATTTAGCGAATTTTCTTAAGGAATCATACCTTAAACTTACAGGACTTCTAAAGTATGAAATTTACAAACCATGTAATATACAATCACTGTTACATAAAACGTTTTACTATTTTTTTATAATTTTTTTCTTTGTTTCGGGTGTTACAATGGTTCTGTTTCGGGTGTTACGAGTACGAAAATTCAACGCTTTTTATCAATAAAATCGGTGTTTTATTAGTCTCTAGGTATTACAAAATAAGGAGTACAACAAATAAACACAAATAGAGCTAATTCTGGTTTGAAATTACGAAGCACCTTTTTTTAAAAAATATACAAAGTTCAAGTTTAATTTTTCCTCAAAATATAGCTTTTTCTATTGTTTTTGGCTTGAAATAGCATTACTTTAATTTTTAATTACGATATTTATTGGAAATGTCGAACATCGAGACTTTTTAGCAATACCTTAATTTTAGTGTTAAGTCAACATTTCAAAAAAATCTTAAATAGAGAAATATGACTCGTTTTCCGATGCCAGCGCTAGAGGGAGGTGGAAGGACCCTCACAGTAATACTTTTTGACTTCTCCAAGCAATATACACACATTATCGACATTAAATAAAAATGTGATACCCGAAACGTTTCGGGTGTTACAGTTTTTAATCAAGAAAAAAACACACTTAATTATTATCATGCTCAGATATTAGTTAGTATTTGAAATCATTACTACCATGACCTTACTTTTACCAAATATTGTTATCCTAATCCATGTGTAAGGTACAATAATAAAGCAAATACCTGTTTTTTTGTTTCGGGTGTTACATCGCCGAAGTAACGAGAAAACACACTTAAAACTTGATGATAATCAATTTTTTCAGGACTATGACGCTATCTACCAATACTATGATAAATACCCTCAAATCATATAGTGGCAAAACGGTTCACAGATTGATAGTTTTTTTTAAATCGAATTACTAATAATTAGAGAGAAAATGATCATTCAGACAGTTGACTTAAGTATAGACTTTGAAGATTAATAACTTAAAAATTACTTGTTTCTTTCAGATTTTTTTTATTGCACATTATAATTTGGAATGTTTACTTTCAAAATTCATCAGATTTAATGCGAAAAGTACATATTTAGTTTTTCAGCCTCGGTAACATTTGTCATGGAATGACCCCATACATTTTAACCTCGATAAAATATATCACGGCGCGCATCCTAGCCCGCCTGGATCGCTGACCGATTGTCCTGCCCAACAATGTTATACATACATGATGCGGGCTGCGTTCACTTTGACCTGACCGCAGACCGCATCCAGTGTGGCAAATCCTTAATGCCAACTTTAAACTACCGCTGAACTCGTCCCAATTATGAAATTTCATATAAAAGTCTCCACTCTCGGCTTAATTCGGATAAATTAAACTGTTTATTCGAAATTGTTGCGCAATGCGACACTACATTTTGGACTAACTCCGTTCGAAGTTAATTTATTTGCGAAATAAAACTGAAGTCCCATGCTTTCCGTTGTAGACTCATTCGTTCTTAAAGGCTTTTAACAGGCTATTCGCACAGCATAATGCTAGTGAGATTTTACGAGGGAAAAAGACTGACTTACTACATATACTTAGAATACTTTTTAGAATGCCAGTTGAACCATTCTTTTACTACATTATATTCACGTATGTACCTACTAATAATAATGCAAAAAACGCACATACGTTCGTAGGTACTACATGCACACGTAGTTGATGATGATGAACGATGTACTAATGTAACATTATGAATACCGAACAGATAAAACCCTTGAAATGTCTTTTGGGAGACCTTACAACTCCCAAAATATCCAACCGTTATGACCAAAAGCATTTTTATTTCTCACATAAGAGCGAAATATCATAGAATAGGTAAGCATTGGAAGTAATGGACCATGCACCATTAAACTTTTAGCTTGCTATTCAAACGAGTTTGATTATGCAGAATTGCTTTTGCCTTATCTATCGGTCAAACGGAAAATATTACGTACAACGCTTTGAAACGTATTTTTGCGGTGAAATGAAAATGTGCGCGTAAAAGGCTCGTTAGGTTTGAATGTTTGTATACGTACCGATAACCAAATCAACAGAGTTATCAATGTTGCAATAAAAAAACAGATGTTTGTGTTAACTCTTCGTGTAAAAAATATTGAACGAATTTTGGTGAGACTTTACAATGTTTACAGCTTTACAAATCCACGGGAACGACAACTTAGCAAGCAAACTTATTAGTTATTGGGAGACTGAGTTTGTTTAAACGTTTCTTCTAAGTCCTTACTAATGTTTGTCTCAAAGCGTTGTTAGGGTCCAAATGTAAGAAGGCAAGTTACCTTTTTAAATACATGCCTATATGATGACCATCATAAGTTCCAAATCTTTAATATTACTCCAGAATAAGATCTAGTAATTACACAGAAAACACCCAAGTGAATACCAACATTATGAGAAGTCAACTCAATAAACCACACTCATTTCGCTAACACACTCAAAGAGTATGACAATGGGCGCGTAAAGTAAGCTCAATGGCGGATTATGCCCGAGGGGTCGTCTTAAAGGACTTTGCAACTTGTTTTCTTAATTTCGTTATTATAACAGTTGCAGTGGTTCTCAACCTTTTTTGGACCAGGGACCACTAATCTTTACTATTCGCAGGACCATTTAAAAAATTGTAACTAAACTAAAACCAAATAGTATCTAAAATAAATATTATTTAAAAGGAAGACATCTTGATTTAGAAAGTACATTCATAGTAAGATTTTTGAGCATGCATTCTTCTTTACAAGTTCGGTAAATACTTATTACATAAACTCTCTCATGACACGCGAAAGTCTATCGTTTGCGGACTATTTTTTTGTAACCCAGGAAGTGTTCACATATCTACCACCAGGGGGCAGCAGACTACATGAGGCTCGAATCCACTAAACACCTGAGGTTTTCCTTCTGCCGCATAGTGGTCGGAGCCTTGGGTACTAAATGACCAAGGAGCCTTACGGACCGTCACGCTCAATGGGGGTCCGACAGGATTAGCCGGGACCTCGTTCGCGGACCATATCTTAACTCCTGAGGACCACCGGTGGTCCGTGTACCACTGTTGGGAACCGTTACAACACTTTCTTGACGGGGAAAACTTCTGTGGACTTGCTACTTAACGCGGTGCGGGACGCATTATCAGTTATACCGGAGGCCGTTGTGGGAGTTGCCTGACGTAATTAAATCAGGAAGGCGGAATTGTTACGCTTTGTATTGCGAAACACGTTAATGACACCAAAACGTAAAAGGATTTTTTAGATAAACGATAAGACTAATTTTCAGACAAATTATTAGTTCAGATTTGTGTAGTTTCGAATATGAATTGTCACTTGAAAATATTGTTTATCAAAACTTGACGTGCAGTCCGTTTCAGTCTCGGTCTGCCCGTTTGTAAGTGACCCCTATGGTAACACTTATCAGGAATTTTGATGTCATAGGGGTCACTTAAAAATTAGGGATTGATGGTGAAAACGGGCATTATTTATTTATTATTAAAAAATTTTACACAGCCCAAGCCTGCGTCTGCCAGTGCTCTATACATTGACGACTTTATAACACCAGTAATTTACCTTCCAGCTGGTGAACAAATTCGACGAGCTGTTATTTACCAAAAACGACGAGAACTTCGTGGAGGCGTTCGCGATATTCTGCGGGATGGGCATCCACAACACGCATATGTACGAGAAAGCCATCACGGCCATGGCCAAGCAGAGCGTCACGCTTGATGTGAGTAGCTTCTTCAAATCTAATTCAAGAGGAGAGCGAAGATACGCTGGCGATAGGCCGGCAACGCACCTGTAACGCCCCTGGGTCTGCGGGTGTCTATGGGCGACGGTAATCACTTACCATCAGGTGATCGTTTGCCTCCTGTCACATAAAAAAAAATCTTTTTTGAGGTTTACCGCAATTAACTAGGACCGCGGTCCCAATCGCCGGATCCGCAAAAAATTAATAATTTTCTTCCGGCGACTGAGACCACTCATAAATTTTAGTACTGTACCGATTTTGGCTTGAATAATAATCTTTTTTAAGTTATCTGTGAGTGGTCCTAGTCGCTGGAAGAAAAATATTATTTTTTTATGGATCTAGCGACTGGGACCGCGGTCCCAGTTAATTGCAATCCCAGTAGCCGGATTGCCCAAACAACTGCACGCAGGAAGATTTAATTAAGGCTACTGACAACGCCACTCTTGTGGCGGAGTTTTGAGCTGACACTGTGTAGGTTTGTTGTCCATATATATGTATATCACCATGTTTTAAGCAAATAAATTTATTTGATTTGATTTATTTGATTTGTGTTAATTAGTGCTTTTCCGAGGGTTACGGTGCCTTTTTATATTGTTACTCTGAAGGTACCTGAATGGCACCTGCGGTATTCTAAGGTACCTGTATAAAAAATAAAGACCGTATCGGTGCCTAAATAAAACTAGAAAATAAAATAAACATAGTGGCAATGCAGAGACATACATCTCAATAACAGCCAACGTGTAACGATGCAAGTTACAAGTTACTCTCGAGGCAATTTATTTTCGGCGGCTATCCTGCACAGCACAGACATAGTAAATGTAAAGACCTGCATAAGTGACAAGTTATTTAATTTTTTCCACCGCTTCTTTTAAATTTTCAACACCCCCTTTAATTATATTATTGGGAAATATAACTAATTTGGGACGTGTGACGTGTGTAAGCGTCCTGAAGTAGGCGTATACAAGTAATAAATATTGAGATATTTTCCGAAGGGCAAAATTATAGGATACATTTTTAGACCAATTAACATTATCCACAGCCTTTGATCATGACTCGTGACATTTCTGTGCCTTCATTAATGCAAGGATATTCCGATATTATCGATCACCTATCGGTTTCATTATTTTTAATGAGCGATTTGTGTAATTCCAGGTGTTAAGTTACCACGCGTCCGCTTCGTTAGACGACGCTCAACGGTTACGGGTAAGTTAATCTTGATTTTGATTATGAATAAATTGTCATTTCCCACGATTATTTATAATCGCTTCGATAATTATTATCGATACTCCAACATCGATACTTAAAATACTGGCGCAATAGACATGAAAAATAAAAAAGCTTAACACATAGCGACAGTCATTTGTCTTTTTTCTTTCAAATCGAACAGTTTAAATTTTGCGTGGGCTCTGCGCAAACGTATTTCTAGAAAAAATTCGTATTTTAAAATGTAGGAGATAAGAAATTGGCGCGCAAGCTAGTGACTCGCCATTTCCTTTCTCTGTCTGGAGCAGTTGAACAAAAAATCCAAATCTATCCGGTTTTCTCTCGAGCAAAAATTGTATTCACTGGAATTTATTGTAAATTACCTTTTCAAAGAGGTATTGGATATCACGTAATGCCTAACCTATGTCTGAAGTGGTTGCTTCGGCCACTTTTGTGGCCATTCGAGGAAATCTGTAACTTTAAATAACAATATTAGCTCTTAATTAATTTAATGATTTGTGTTTTAATTAGGTCTGTTGACACCAGTTATAATTTTAAGTATAGTTATTGGATCTTAGGTATCGATTTTCCGTTTTTCAATCAAGCCTTAAATGAATTTCCATCTGAAGGGAGCAGCCTAGACAAATTTACAAGCTTGATAAATTGTGATTCCGAATTCGCTTCGACCCGGCGTTCTTTGTTTAGATTGTAGGTATTCGCTCCGAGAGGCGATTTCTAAATTCTAACTGTCCCAATTGTTACTCTAGGGCTTGGTTGCACCATCTTACCTGCTTTAACAAACGTCAAAACTCTGTAAAACTCCATACAAAAAACACAGGTTATTGTTATAGTTACCATTAAAGTATGGTGGTGCAACTCAGCCATACCCCGTATTCACAAACGATGCTTGCTTAATTGTAGCAGCAAATGGCGTTGAATAGAGATCTGTGATTGGTTCATCACCCTGAGCGAGCGTCCACGCGCACTGTGAGACCTCAAAGTGATGTTTGTGATTACGGGCGTTAGTCTTTCAGGCAGCTCTAATTAATCAGATGAATTCTAATTTAAATATTCTTTCATTCCAGACCCTAAGGATACCATCATCAGTCCACTTCAGCCTCCACGAGCTGGATTTCGACGACATAGACCTCTCAGACGACGACACCCTCACGGCATGTCTGCGAATGTTCCTAGATCTAGACTTCGTGGAACGCTTCCATATAGACTACAGCGTCCTCTGCCGGTGGTTATTGAGCGTCAAGAAGAACTACAGGAATGTGACGTACCATAACTGGAGGCATGCTTTCAATGTTGCCCAAATGATGTTCGCTATACTGACGGTGAGTTTATATTGATGACTTACTAATTATAGCTTAGAATTTAAAGGAGACTGATAGAGGTGTTTTTTCGGCACATAAACGCATCTTTTGTGCCTTATGTGCTATTTATACTATCTTAATCATTTGTAAGTTTACATGGTTGATGAATGTTGTAGTTGATTTTTTGCATGTCCTTAATGAAAAATACCTCTATGTAATCTCCCTAAAAATTTGGAAAAGACTGCCCTATGTTAATGTCTATCACTATTACGGATGATCCGTTACTCAGTAACCAATTCTCCATAGTACAAATTTTGAGTTTAAGCATGAGTATGTTAGGCTTACGTTACCAATTTATTTTGATTATTATTTCCTTTGATTGCTAAAATATTTGCTGTTCAAGAAACGCTTTTGCCAGTGGGTATTTTTTTACTATCCACTTCTTTTGACTCGAGCACAGCTTCTCATTAAGCACACTTCATTCAAGTCCTACAGTCCCCAAACTATGTGTTGTGTCGTGTACAAAGCATGCTAATATAAAATAATTAATTTTTCACGCAGCGGTTTACATTGCAGGAGACGCAGTGGTGGAAGATATTCGGCGAGCTGGAGTGCCTGGCGCTGATAATCGGCTGCCTGTGCCACGACCTTGATCACCGGGGGACCAATAACTCTTTTCAGATCAAGTAAGTACATATTTTTTTATTAAGCTTCAACCAAACCAACGCGTACAGATCGCCATCGCCGATGAGATCATAGGCCAATGACAGGACGCGCGACCAATGACAAGTTTAATTGAAGCTTTAGGCCCACCGTACACGGCCACTCGAGCAGTTAGCCAGTGGTCAACATACACAGACCGCTCTTGCAGTTATAATCAATAAAAATTTCACCCTACTGCCAACCACCCGAAGCAGAATATGAGGAAAGAAAATTGTTGAAAATTTCAAGCTTGCCCGAACGGCCTTATTAGCGATTACGTAAACCTAGTTCCAGCAGAGTAGAGGACCAATATAAGGAATGTAGGCTAATTTGATTTACACCTGGTAAATAATATAGAGTCGTCCTCCTGCAGTGGGGACCAAATTACCTGATGATAATGATGAAATCTAATGTAGAGAGAGCATGATGTAACAAGCAATACATCTGTCCAATATCAGACCTGTACTGCCCAAACATCCACTGCTGAACATAGGCCTTCCACAAAGATTTCTATATTGCCCGCTTGGTAGCGGCTTGCATCCAGCGCCTTTCTGCTACCTTTATGAGGTCGTCGGCGTACTGACCAAATACAATACCTGTTATCACCAGGACCTCACGAGTAGTCGTAGTAATTGGATCGCGATGCGCGAGTTCGCGCACTCCTGGCACACAATCAGGCGAAGTTATGAGAAGAAGTGATGACATTCATCAACGTTAGCAGCCCGACGCGAAGTACCGTATTTGTGGTGTCAAGCTCCAGAAGGGGGAAAATTGACAATGAGAAGGGACATGGATAAGAGAAATTTATAGGGAGTCAAGCAAAGCGCCCGGGGAAAAGAGCCCAGAGTAAGTACCCGCGCGCTCTCCCTAGATTCGGTTCGTACGCCGTGAGGCAGGAAGAACCATGGGTGGTGGTGGGATTTGGCCAAATACAAAACCATAATCATAGAAAAACATGTTTGTCGTTGTCATCTTTCCACCTGTTCTTAAATTCCCTATTTTAAAGCGAATTGATAAATCTTTCCAGGGCATCATCACCGCTCGCCCAGCTGTACTCAACATCCACGATGGAGCACCACCACTTCGACCAGTGCCTGATGATCCTCAACTCGCCCGGGAACCAGATCCTGGCGAATCTGTCTTCGGACGACTACGAGAAGGTCGTCAAAGTGCTCGAAGACGCTATACTGTCCACCGATTTGGCTGTTTATTTCAGGTTGGTTAAAATTTGTTGGATTTCATTAAAGTACACACATCATCATCATCATGTCAGCCATAGGACGTCCACTGCTGAACATAGGCCTCCCCTAATGCTTTCCACGTTGATCGATTGGTAGCGGCCTGCGTCCAGCGCTTCCCTGCTACCTTTACGATGTCGTTGGTCCACCTTGTAGGTGGATGTCTCACGCTGCGCCTTCCGGTACGCGGCCTCCATTCCAGAACCTTGCTGCCCCATCGGCCGTCAGTTCTGCACACTATGTGCCCTGCCCAAAGTACACTCAACAGCCCATAATAGTCCACTATTAGACATAGGTTTCCCTCATTCTATCCTCTCTTCGATTTGTCATATCTAGCCCGCTGACGACATGCAAAAGATCGCTGGGCTGGATCTTTCGCTCGTCGAGTTGTAATTACTGATTCATGTAGTCATTTACATTCAATTTTCACCCGTGGTCCTACTGTCACGAGACAAACTTGACCTTCGCTGGTTCGGTTTTTATTAGCGGTCAAGCTGTAGATCCTGGCTACATAGGAGTTGCAGCGGTAGGAACGAGATGTGGGAATAATCCCTTATTGTCACGGGCTTTTTTTTTCTTAGTTCTATCATCAGGACTAGTGTCCGACCGAATGTTCGGTTTCGGTTTCGTTTTCGGTTGAGTTTCGGTAAAAATACGAGTTTCGGTTTAGTTTCGTTTTCGGCGGCAAACTTGCCGAAACTACGACCGAAACCGAATGTGCATTCGGGAGTTTCCGCGCTGTTATCGGTCATGTTCGGCGCGTTGAATGAGTGAATGAATCCGATCAGAGCCAATTTTATTTATTTAAACTTTAATGCCAAAATAAATTTGTACTTAAGGCGAACTTAATGCACTAAAGCATTCTCGACCAGTTTACCTTTGGGTTGAGCAGAAAAGAAATTTGTTTGGCGGTACTTCTAGTGCAAAGAGAAAAAAAAAAACAAATATGCTACATAAATACATAAAATATACAATAATATATAAAATATACAATAAATAAATACATACATAGAATAGATGATTGAGTTAAACTGAAATTACAATTCATGAAGATGAAATCATTTAAAGGAAGTGGTTATGGACAGATTTTTTTAAAAGAAAACTTATTAGACGCTTGCCTGGTCTCTTCAGGCAGAGAGTTCCAGAGCCTTATGGCCTGGAGACGGAAGGAGTCGGAGAGAAAACCAGTTCGGTGAAGAGGAGTGGAAAGAACGGACTTGTTGGAGGAGCGGAGCTGACGTGAGTGCGTAGAGCTGAGAAGGTTAAACTGAGACTTAAGATATGAAGGAGAGTTGGGATCATTTAGAATTAAAAAAGGGTAGAGAGAATTCTGACTTTGCGTCGAAGCGGGAGAGGCAGCCATTGAAGCTGAGAACGGTAAGCGGAGATATGGTCATATTTACGCAGACAAAAAAAAATGCAGCTGGCATTGTTGACAAGGCGATCCAACCATCTGATTTATCTAAAGCTAAGTGAACAGTGCAATAAATTATATTCACTAGGAAGTTCCGAGCCTAGAAGGCAAACTATTACTGGTTTGAAACTACACTTGTTTTACCATGAAAATCTATGTGATTTAAAGAGAAAACAATAAAGACTGACTGATTATAATAACGTTTTCTTTATTTTTCCCTCAAAATATGAGCCTTGTAAGGAAGTTTCGGTTTCGGTTTCGGTTTCGGCCGAAATAGACACCGTTGCCGAAATTCGTTTTCGGTTTCGGTTTCGGTCGTAAAACTAGTTTCGGTCGGACACTAATCAGGACTAAAGACACTGAATTTTAAAAAGAATGTGTGACTGTCAATAAATATTTTTTAAAATAAAATTATTACTTGTTTCCAGCAAACGCAAGCCCTTCATCGAGCTGGTGAGCAGCGAGCGCTGCGTGACAGTCGCGTGGGGCGAGTGCGAGGACCGTCGCGGGCTCCTGCGGGCGATGCTGATGACGGCGTGCGACCTCGCCGCCATCACCAAGCCCTGGCCCGTCGAGCGCCGCGTGGCCGCGCTCGTGGCCGGCGAGTTCTTCCGCCAGGGCGACCTGGAGCGACACAACCTCAACCTGACGCCCATAGTGAGTGTCGCTTGTAGCGCGCCCGTAGTGTCGCTTGTAGCGCGCCCAGCGACCGCCGCCATCACCAAGCCCTGGCCCGTCGAGCGCCGCGTGGCCGCGCTCGTGGCCGGCGAGTTCTTCCGCCAGGGCGACCTGGAGCGACACAACCTCAACCTGACGCCCATAGTGAGTGTCGCTTGTAGCGCGCCCGTAGTGTCGCTGGTAGCGCGCCCAGAGACCGCCGCCATCACCAAGCCCTGGCCCGTCATAAGGCCACCATCGAGACACCTACCCTTGAATTGTTACGAACAATACTCTTACTACTTCTTATCTATTGGGTATTTTGAAGAAGTGTAAAAGGACCTTAATTGAAATTGCATCACCTGTACATATTGAACGAGAACGAAAACAAATATTTACAATACCTATTTTGTTTCAGGATATAATGAACCGAGACAAAGAAGACGAACTCCCTGCTATGCAAGTCAAATTCATTGATACGATTTGCTTGCCTATTTACGAGGTAAATATCATGAACATTCTACAAAGCTAAGCTTTTGATTTTAAAGATGTACTAGACTAAAAAAAACTATATTATTTTTCAGGCATTCGCAGTACTGTCGTCATCTTTACAACCAATGCTCGATAGAGTGAAGAGCAATCGGGCGCATTGGATCGACCTCGCGAACAACGACAAAAACAATGACAAAATCGAGTACGGTCTCGAGAAAAACCACATCAACGAGCGAAACGACAAATCTAGCATCAGCTCGCAAAACGTTGATGACACAGAGAACACTTACGAAGGCGATAGCAGCGGAGCCGTGAGTCTGTCTTCAGAGTCCAACTCCAAATATGAAAATATCGAAAACCCCGTTGTAGGACTCCTTTGCAACAACGTCCTAGCGATACCGCGGGATTCCAGCAAGTTCTCAAACATGAACGAGCTAAACTAAATACAAAATGAGACGGACATTTATGTGATATAGTGAAACGCGTCTTATTTGCGGATAGCGTCCAAACCTCATTTCAAAGGCCAATAGCGAAGCCAAATCGTCCAACGTTAAGTTTTTAGTGTAAAGATACATTTTAGTGTCTATTAGCACAATGTGTTACTCAATAACGATATAGTTTTGCATTTTAGATGTTTATCTTTTTATTTTATAAGTTACGGTTTTGTAACTGATTGGGTTTTATTGAGCTTACGATTCCGTATGTTTTGCCGCCATATTTTTTCATGTTCCTATTGGCTTGAAATCGAGGTCCTTTACGAGAGTGAACGGTACTTGCGTTACAAACAACGTTGTGTGATATTCGTGTAGTTAGATGATGATTTAGTTGAATTCGAGATGATTCACCTAACGCAAGGCGTTTATCGATAAGTTATCAGGATTCTCGCACTATTTTTGTACACTTCATTTAGCTTTACATGAATAATTTTAAGAAATTTATAATGTATGTACCTAAATGTTTTGATTTACCTCATTCGTCTATTCCTACGTATTACATGAAGTCATTCGTGTGTCGATAGTTTTCGTATCATTTAAGATACTCGTAATGAACATTTAATATTATATTGATGAATTATTTGAAACTAATGAACAGGGCCTATACGTCATGTCTAACGTAGTTTTTATCAAATATATGACCAAAATACCAAAAATTTTGAATAGTGCTAAATTGTTTTTGTTCATAAAACATATAATAAGACATTCAAGCTTTGAGTATTAAAATGTATATTTATAGAGTTTGGCATTATTATGTTCGTGTAAAATTTGACTTGTGCGTGAAATATATCCATCAGATACATAGAATCATGACCTACATATCGGGAAATGAATGTATAACCATATAATGTGTATGTGACAAGGGTATAGTGAATAATATGTGACTATAATGTACACGTGTTGTAAAGTATTTAAGAAATAAGCTTTTTATTTCTTTTATTTTTATTAACATTTGTTTCAAACTTGTAAAATAACAGAATAGACACGTGCACATTGTAATCTCTTAAAATTTTAATCGCACATTATGTAAATAGGACCTTAAATTATTAACGAAGCGTAATTTTTGGTAAGTAATGTACTTATTATGAAATCGGGTTCTGATTTAAATAATATTCAGTTTTGTAGTCGCTCTGTACGGAACGCCCGCCTCGCAATAGTTTTACGCCTGACAGTTAAACCACAAATACAGTGCTAGCACATCAAGCTTTACAATTGTATTGCAAAATGGTACGTATTGCAACTGCGTAAGATTCCACGATGCTTGATGCGCCCGATATTTGGTGGCTTGTGGATTTTTGGGAGACTAAACTCTGACCAATAGATGCTGTAAAGGCGCGCGCGCACGGTTCACTTTTGTCACCGTGACAGTATGTCTCTTGGATAGATAAGTTCAAATAGTATGTTATCTCTCTCTTTCTCTTTATGAAAGTGTAAAAGAGAAAGATGTTATCAGTGCGCGCATAACCTAAGAAGATAATGTCATCGTTGCAATCTATTGGTGATTTTAGTTAAGCTTTCCGTCACAGGCTACTAAAGTATTGGCAGCACTGGAAAAGGGACTAGAAGTTCGCTCGGTTATGATGGCATACTGTAGCATAGAAATAGCATTATTGTAGTCTATATTTCTTACGTTTTCTGTAACTGTTTTTTATCTGGTTTTTTTTCTGAGATTAATTGTTTTTTCGAACAACCCTTTGTAACCATTTTTGATTGTTTTTTTCCCGTTCATTTACAAAATATTATTACATCCTTTTTGCAAGAAGGCAAAGGTAAATGAAAACTTTTTGAATATTATGTTGATTAGTATATTTTTTGCAATATTTAACCCATTTGGTGCATATAATCGAGCGGGCCTTCCCCTTTTGTGGTTGTAGCAAGAACCATTCCAATTAATTGTTTTGTATCATATTACCTGCTGTTTGTGTCGTCCGTTAATAAAAACGCGTAATTAATAATTATTATGTCAATTAAAATATACAAAATGTATAATCAAATTTTTTTATGTAATGTATATGTTACGGTCAAAGTGATAAATGTGAAAATTATGAATAATCGCCGGTTATTATGAATAATTACCGCATGATTTGGTAAATGTGATTAATATGAGGTCATTTATGTGTGTATAAAACTAAATAGGCGGCTTAGGGGTGCCCCAAGGCCCCCCCCCGCCGCACCTTAACCTATTTTTCACTTTAAATCAAAACATTATGTTATAGGCATCATAGAAAAGTAATATTATGCAAGAAACATTCCAAACTCATTATGCCAAATTATATTAATATATGATATCAAAACGTTCAAAAGTTTGGCTGTACACGAGCACGTACACAAGATGTTGTTCTCTTTTATGAAATTTGTTAGTACTAAGGTTGAATTATTAAATAATCACTGTTAAATGTGATTAATTTATCACTTTCACCGCGACTGTCGGTAATTATTCATAATAACCGGTTATTATTAATAATTTTCAATTTATCACATTAACCGTAACATATAGAAAAAATATGAATTATTGCTAAACTGCAGAATGTTCTATGTTTTAAATATCAATTTTATTTTTTGAAATTGATCCAAGAAGATGCAGTTTAATTAAAATTTCTAATGATCATGTTTCATAGTTGAGACTATTTCTAATATAAATTGATAGATTTTCATTAAAAACGCTTTTAACGAGTGCAATTGGAATCAATGGTTGGGATAGCATTTTAATTTCATATACCGTTTTCTTAGCGGTATATTTCTAACGCTGTCTATGTGTCTACCTTCTATGAGACTATTCTAATCAACTTTATCAAAATTCACTATATTTCTCCTATAAATGCTGTAAATAAAAATGAAATATTATTTTTCCAAAAATGTCAGTTTTCCCAAAACATCAAAGGCTCTCTCAACCATCAAAATGGTACGTAGTGTTGAATGGTTTGGATAATTATATTTTCGTTCCCATACAAATTTTGTAACCAAACAAAACTTTTGACCAATTTCGCCATAAAAGAAAAATTGTATATTATAATATTTTCTAATTGGAATAATTCTCTCTATAAGCGTTAGATATTTACTTGAAAAAAAAAAATCTCAAATTATTGTGGTAATAAAATATGTACAACCCTAATGTTAAGAATCGCTGTAAGTATTATTAGAAAGTAATTAGAGAATTAATAACTGTAATTCACTAAATGAAGAGTTGTATGGTGTGTGAATAAATATGGAGGTTGTTTTGTTCCAAACAAAAATGTTATTTATTTATGATTAAACAAATTTTGAAATAATTGTTTGTTTTTCATACTTTACTTATCCATCTTTTACACGTTAAATATGGTACAAAAGTAGGTAATAATTAAAATTATGGTATTTTCTCCCAGTCAACCTTGGCGGAGCAGGAAAGTTAAAAAAAAATCACAGTCCAATATCTAAAACAGAAAACGTGACAGTTGTAGGTAATTTAGAAAATCTTTCGAAGCGACCAAAACCACGCCGAAGTTGATGAGCGAAGAAATTTCGAAATTACAAGTGTCACGTTATCTAAGCCACTGGAATATTGTCTTTGGCCTTTAGGCATTATAAAAAAAGAATTTTTGACAGTTTGTCAACATTGAATTTTGTTACAAACTGAACTGTTTTTTAATAATTTACCAAAATGCCTCTCCTAGACATCACCAACCCGGCAGTTATCATCTTTCTAAAAGAGAACTATGAAAAGGAGAATCGATTGCGACTCAACTGGATCCACAAACATAAAGCCTCTATCCAACAGGCGGCTACTTTGACCAGGGAACCTACTAACTACTTCGAAAGCGATGTGACTGCCCATAACATGGTTGAAGGCATGGCTACCATCACTAGAGACCATATTGTGGCTGGTTACAACAGACGAAAAGTTCCCATAAGAGATGGGACTTTTATCCCTGGAGTAGCGAACCTCCGCCATGGGCATTCCGTCGTTGACATCGGTCTAGGCGACCCCAAAGTCGACCCAAGATTAGTTCGCCCCAATACTGACTTAAACACAGATCCGATCATGCGACCGGTCGACCCAAAGATCACCGAGATCTTTTATAAATCAAAACCGGATTACGGTAGGATGGAGTATTTGAACAAACGCGGCAAAGTTTTGCCCGAAAGGAGGTTTTACTTCGCAGAGTGTAGCAACTGGGAGTATGGTTGGAGGATGGGCGACAGTGTGCTACGTCAAAAGCCAATGTTTGGACGATGCTGGCGGCTGACCAAGACCTTGAAGAGTCGAGTAGGTCCTCAACCAGATCCACCCCATTACAAATCTTCAGATCCCCCTGGCCCGTCAAAGTGTATTTCTATGTAGTTTTCAAATATTTTAATAAGGTTCTTTTAGCTTTTAGTTAACTATACTTAATTTGTTGATTAATATTATAATTATTTTGTTTAGGGGCACTGTTCGTTTTTAGAGTTTAGTATTAATTTATAAACTTAATATTATTATATTAATTAATGGTAAATCATCTTTTATATCTCACGTCCTACAATAGAAGAATAAAGTTACGTTTTTTAATTTTTTTGTCAAGTAGTTTTTTTTAGAATAATCAATAATATTCCTATATTCCTTCAAAATTATACACCTACTATTGCACACATAATATCTTTTCATATTTTACTTAGGTCTTAAAAAAGTAAAATCAAATTACCTACCTAGTAGGTACATAGAAGTTATCAGGCAACGTAGCCGATTTCACACAAATCTTTAGGTACTTCTTAAATATTTAACGAGTTCCGCGACTTGTGGCGACACCGAGTGATTTATTGATTTAGGTTCGACCCTGGCATATGAGATACCTACCTACAAGCCCTAACAATCAACTAGGTAAGTACTGTATTCATTCCGTCTGCCGCTCTAAAATTCATGGTCAAGGGGAGGAAGTAACCACAACACGAATTTTACAATACATCGATCGTTTTAGTTTACTCATTAACATCGCGTCAAACAAAACGCAGCAATGGAACTAGCCATACTTGCCGCAATGTGTTCCGTGCCCGCCGTTCCCGCCACACACCCATCAATAACACTGCGCATGTCCTTCTGGATAGCATCCGTCTCTTTCCTTCAATAATGCACAACAAGGGAGAAAGCATAACCTCAAAATGTTCGCACATGCGCAAAACGCGGCAATCCGCTCCACCACCTACTTTGCAGTGCTATTGATGCGAATGATTATTATCGAAACGCATGCAGTAACTATAAATAAAACCCTAGAATAACCAAATTGTAAAAATATGTGAATAGTTCTACTTATAATGTAGCTCTCATCTGTAAATAGCACTAATCAATTTGTAAATGAAGTGATTCTAGTTGTGTAGTTTTGTAAATCGATTTTAACATAATTTTGTAAAACATTAGTTACTAATACTAAAAGTGATGTGTAATTAAAAGAAATACCCACGTAACCACTCAACAAATTACGAAAAAGTAAGTCCATTTTCATTTGTAGTCTTTGAATTTTACTTCAGTATTGCCACACTCTCTTCAGCTCCAATGCTCTAAAATAATTTCCTTTACCTAAATTGGACCTTTATTTTAATTGTATCATGAAAACTTCCTCATTTAAACATAACTTATTTTGTAAAGAATAGCTATGTCTTTAAATTGATTCATGAAACTAACTCTTAATTAATTACACTAACCGATTTTACTAACCGCTTTACCTGTATATTTACGGCAAGAACACACTAATTTGAAAATTATAAGGGTATTTCTTCGGAGGCAAAATTTTCGATGTCTTTGGGTATAGTTCTGTAACCAACTAACAAAATGGCATGCAATATTTTTTTTCGTATAGCTTAGCTATAGCCCTATCTGGCGCAAATTACATTTTTGACATAATTGCTGTCTTTATACAAAATAAAAATATTTGAAGTGTGATTCTCTGATTCATATGGTGTGTCCGTTAGCCATTTTCCGGAACAAAATGGTTGATGTAGCATTTTCCTTTTGATATATCAATATAAATTAAAATTATTTCGAAAGCTAATGAGTTGTCCTTCTACAAAAAAAATGTGTCATAATTTTAATTAAGTTAGTTTGTTCGCAAAAAAATAAATAAGCAGTGTCCGGCATAAAATACTGATTCATATGGCGTGAGCTGTTCTTGACCATAACTGGTCAGGTTTTAGTCATGAGAGTCTGGTTTCTGGCGTGGAGGCAAGCCCATCTTGCAACGGATGAGCTAGAAGGCAGACGTGGAGCTGGTTGGCTTAGAACCCGGTGTGACGAAGGCAAATACTTGATTCATCTGTGCTTGGTTCAGGTGGCATGCTGATTACAATGCCTACTTTATAAAATTACATTATTGCATTAAAAATCTAATCTGTCTTTCTTGTGATGCTTTTGGGTTATAGAATCATGTAGAAAAATGACAACACTGTAGTCTGTATGTATGACGAGTTTTGCTCGATTTTAGGCAAAAAACTGATTTATCTGTGCGTGATTCATATGGTCAGGGCCCTATATGAATCATAAAATAAATTAGTTTTTGGTCTTTCAAGCACCAAAAAAGGGTTTTTTAACTAAGAATGACATCCCAGACTGCATCTCACTTAAGACCAGGTGCGATTGCGGTCTTGTTATGAATAAAAAAAAACCTTATCATTTTTATGTTAATAATAATTTGTGTTTAAACAGTAAATAAGTAGTATATCCGTTAAGCTAGCAACCATAACACAAGCATATTCGTTGCTTATTTTGTAGCTAAATGGCGCTGTATGAAATTGCCCAACGATTTATTTACTTTTATTATTATTTCAGCTACACTTATGGCGTCCATAGCACATAATAATATACTGCTGAGCATAGGCCTCCAATGATTTCGAGATTAACTGATTGCCATTGCTACAACCTCTATAAGCTCATCTCACCTTCTTCACCTTGTAGGTGGACGTCTTAACAACAATAGCTTGGATAAGTGATACAGCTCAGTAGAGTCATCTAAAATACCTTAGTGCCATAATATAAAGGTCTACATCCAGTGTGTGTTTATCAGTGATGACAAATTGTTCTGAAAAGCGGCCTCTCGCTGTAGGCTTACGAACCACAAAGTTGCATAGTGTACTATGGAGTGGACTATGCTTGTTTTTTTATGCAATCGAATCTGTAATGAGGAGATCCGTAAACGATCTAAAGTCGCATGGTGGCATAGTCCGATGTTTTAGCAAGCTGAAGTGATAATGGGCAGGACACATAGTATACAGAAATGATGGCTGATGGGATAGCACGTTTCTGGAGTGGAAGCTACGTGCCGGAAAGCTCAATGTAGAACCTCCTCCCACAGGAAGGCGCAGGATGCAGGCCGCTACCAACCGGTCATTATGGAAATCATTGGGAGAGGCTTATGTTCAGTTGAAATGATTATGATGATGACAAAATATTATGGAGGTATACTAAAGTTTCAAAAAAATGTTTTTTTACGAATTATTGTGGAATCGTTGCATTTTTTTATAACAACAGATCATTGTTTTTGTTATAATAAGATTATTTTCTTAATTTAGAGCCAATTGTACATAAATATCATAAATTTTATTTCTGTTTTTGATTAATATGTAACAAATTCTGATTCATATGGGTACAAAATATTTGAACGTCGATATCTTGAAAACTACTTTACAAAAACGAGTCCCTTATCCAAATATATGTTATTGGGTGTACCTATTTTCATATGAGTCTATGTTACAAACCTAAAATTGAATTTGAAATTTGTCCATATGAATCAGCCGAAGAATGCGATTTCGAAGAAGTGCCCATAAATAACTTGAAAAAATCGAACTGCCTAATCCCGCCTTAGGCAGTTCGATTTTTTCAAGTTATTTATAATTTTCAAATTAGTTTGAGATGCGACTCTTAACGCTAAAAATTAAATAACTAAGAACACACTAGATCTAAATTGATAAACAGGTTACCGGTTACCGAGCTTAATATATTTTTTTTTCTGAATCATGCTTTATTTTCATTGGCTCCATTAACTTGCACGTGGTCATCTCTATAATGAATGTTTATAACTTTGAGAAACATCTGCTGGATGCATTTTGCTTATAGGATACCTACTTATGTAGTTCCAACTTTGATGTGTATCGGGACGGGACATAATACATAGTAATACACGTCTTGAGAGAAAAGGAGATCCCGAGGGATTCGCGTGACGCGATTTCGGAAGCAAATTCAGTTTGTCACGAATCGAAACATACTTACCTACTGTATCTACTATAATAATATGTATGCGAATATACAGAATGTTTCGAATTACTTTTGTATAGATTCAACTGATACATAGTAAGGTACCTTAGCATTTAGTCAGTCTGTATACAGGTAATACCTACATTTCCTCAAAACTTACCAATACGGTAAGTACACGTGGCCCTAAGTTCAGTGGCAAATGTTGGCCATCTGTCATCATAACTTAATTTTGTACACATTGAGTTGGTTTTATTATAAGCAGAATATACTTACATACATTATCATTATTATAACTGCATTATAATTTATAATAATCTCTAGATTAGACTGTTTGTATTTGCAAAATAGAACTAATACTCCTATAGTAGGTACCTACAATGCTTTATTTTACGCTACCATGTAGGTGTACGAGAGTATGCTACGGTAAACAAATAAAAATGGATTCCAGAATCGTGTTTCTATCCACATTGGATTTACTAACACCGTTTCAATGAACTTTCATGTTGCGTCCAGCATTAATGTACCTTTAATGAAGTTAAAAGGAGTGACTAATGATAGTGTCCGTGATATTTACACGAACTTGTTTGAACTCGCATCAAAGACATCAATTTGTGGTGCTCTCCCAGTTTGGTCTGGATTTTGCGGGCTAAAATTAGACTCTAGTCTTTATTACTATGTGTTTCGAAATTCGGAGTGATTCAACCGTCATAAAGTCTGACTGAGTACTTGTTATTTAATTAGTCTGTGGATAGGGTTTATTAAAGCACCGCAATCTGTTAACTTTGGCCGAATGGTATACCGAGCTGTTGCACTACACAATATAAGTAGATACTGTTTGAACCATCAGTATTTATGGCTGGGGATCCCCAATCCTGCATTACACAAGTTACCGATAAGCTATGGCTTTTTAATCAATACTTTACTCCATCACCTGCAAGAAATGGCCCTAACAATCAATGCGTTGCTCTATCGTCTGCAAGGCACACTTAAGATCGCACTAAAAGCAACCCTATAATAGGGCTAACTAAGTTTTACACACTAAAAATATATTTTTTCACACCATGCAGACCAAGATGGGCGACTGAATCCAATTGGGGTGACTGAAACCTCTAAAGTGACCCATCTGAGACCCTACCTCTTCCCTGTTTCACATATTCAGTTTTGGTTCATTTATCTATACAGGGTGTTAGGTAAATGGGTATA